AATTGTAAATTGAGATTTACCCATCAAAGGAGAGGTTTACACTCTCATGCTACCGGTTTTTTCAAACTAGACTTTGAGTTCTGGGTTTAAGATCTTATTGCACAGCCTTTTCTCTAAATAAAGTTACTTTTTGAATATTAATAAAAGAGCTAATCTCTGCCTGAGCTACAGGATGAACCAGACATGTCTAACAAAATACAAGCGTCACTATTACAATACATTCCAATTACCTCAATGGACTCCAACAAATAGTATATTATCTGTTGAGTTGCTTGTGTACTTGTATGTTTAAACCGGGGTCTGACAGAAACTGCATCTCAATCCCATCAATGTCCTGTACATATGGCAGACAATGGCAATTAAATTAACTTACATTAATTAAAACATTATTACAATTATTTGGCAAGTGTTTTTATAACAAACTATCCATCAAATTCTTTTTATACATGTTATTTGATACATGGTAGTTTTCAGTGATTTTATGTCAAGTGTCAAATATTTGACATGTTGTCAAATTAAGACTCCGCTGCTTGGTTGTGTTACAGTAAAGTGCTTATTTCAGGATTCTGATATGTTGTTCAGACAAACACAACATTTATAATATCACCTCGAGCAGTAGGAAATGCATTTTTCTCAATTTTCAGATGTGTTATTGACAGAATGATCAATCAGGACAATGAGCACATCAATTGCGAATGACTAAAAAACTATTTTAAGGTACATTTAAAATATTTTACATTGGACATATGCTTTCAGATGCAAGACTACATGCTTACAAAAAAATCTATAGGGTAATGTGACCAAAAAACTAAACAGGCATATTACCCAAAACTTGCAAGTGATATTAGTTTAGCTTGAACATTTATCAACAGGGAGAAAATTGATCAGCACCGATCTTATTCAATAAATCGCCATATAAAGCAACCAAACGCAATAATTCTTACAATTATTTACAGAAATGGCTACGTAAATGTGAGTATTTCATGCTTTAACATAAACTATGTTTAAACTGATGGTTGGACATCAGCTTTGACAGTAAAATTACAGCTGCATTTCCCCCATTTTATCACACTTTCTTGACAAATCTATTAATAGAGAAAATAACCGGTAAAATCAACCAATGATGAAAATAATGCTATTTGCAGCCTAAGACATGAGACACATTAAGAGACCCACATGTAACGCACACGTGTGGGGATCAAACCCGCAATTAAATGTAAATTAAAACCTCTCTTCCAAAACAAAATAAACCGGGGACACTTTCTGTTTCACATTCATTATTAAACGACGACACTGTTTAAGTCATATTTAAACACAAGTCTCAAGCATCTACGTTGAGTGTCCACTAAAGAGCGCATGCAGAGAAAAGTAGTGAAAGCGAAACTTAAAAGTGAACACTGACCCGAGACACCTTCACTGAGTCTAACGATGGAAGAATGAGATTTATCCATTTATCATTGAGGGGTTTACACACCAGCTCTGCTCCGCGTCCCGATCCAAAGTGACCCAAAACAAGACACGTGTTTGCAATGCCCTCGACTTCCTGATCCCTCTGACTCAACACAGCCCGCCCCCCCCTCCTCCTCCTCCCGGACTCTGCTCTACCTCGGCCGGTTAATAATTACAAACAAACCGGATCTAACTCTGCAGTGTCACCGTAACGAACATTTAACCCTCTGGCTCGGTTACGACTCAGCTGCAAGAACTGACCGAGAGTCAAGTGTGTCACAGGAGCTTATGAGTGGCCTGGTTTAGCTCAGGGTGACACGGGTTAGCCATGTTAGCAGCGCTGTTAGCTAAAGGGCACTTTAACCACCGTGAGGAGTCAGGCATGTACGAGCTAACATGCCGGATCTTCACCTCCAGCACTGAGTCTGTCTGTCTGTCTGTATGTCATGGGTGTCAGCAGCTCCCTGTAGCGGCTCGTAGCCCCCTCACACACGGTGACATTACGCATCCACGACCCGGTGTTTCCAACTTTCTCTCCAGCACGGTTGGGCGTTAACGAGTATTTACGTTAACACTTAATCGCTCAAGTTTGTGTTTAGCTAAGTCCACCCGCTGCCGCCACCACCGCCTGAATCTGAATTAACGATGCAGGTTAGCGAGCAGCTCCAGCGCTCAGCCCCGGTTATAAAAGCACCACAGCGGGACTCACGGTGTCCTCCACGGGTCCGTGTCACGACAGCTGTCGGTCGGCTCTCACGGTTGTTGTTGTTGTTGTTGTTGCTGCTGCTGCTGCTGTTCTCGCGCAGTGTCATCGCCGTAGCTAGCTAACGTTAGCAACCAGGCGCGTTAGCACGGCTGCAGTTAGCGCCTCAAACCGAAAACAACCAGAGTGTAAAACGGCCCCCAGGTGTCACAACATGGCGGCGAGCTGTCGTGTTTAGCGACGGGAGTATCCAGTTGCTGCTACACAGACGGTCGCCAGCGGCGGGGGGTGAGGTTACCTGACTGTCGGTTGGACGGTCTGTCGGTCGGCGGGTTGTTGTCCTCTCCGCTCCGCCGCGCTCACGCCATCTTTTTATCAAATGCTCGGCCGCATGCGGGTCACGTGACGCGCGGATCCACAGCGGCCGTCTTCTCCCGCAGCCTCCGCTCCCGGCGTCGCTGAGAACGGGCCTCGGAGTGGCCGCGGGTCGCCCCTCCACCACACCGGAGCGTCCGGAGCGACAAATGTGTCATGTTCGAAAACGTTAACGCAAACGACAAACATAGCAGAGTCACCGAGCTAACGCGACGTCACGTGACCATGACAGGGCTGCGTCGGAAGTGACGCTGACAGATTCCTCTTCTTCTGCGTCCTCTTCCTCTTCCTCCGCTGCTCCTCATCAATAACACGAACACTGGAGCAAAACGAGGAGGAACACGTGGTGTTGACTCTCCCTCTGGGAGGAGAAGACATAAACACAACCGCTGCAACAAGCAGAGTCAAAGAGGAGCTGAGCCTTTCTCCAGATGTTAATGCTCTGTTACTTTATTGTTTCATGGACTTTTACTCAGTAACAATGATTGGATGTACAAAAGCTTGGGTTAAACCGATTCACCTGCTTTGTTTACAGATATCTTTGAACAGAGCTGTGTCTTTATGAGTTTAGTAAAGATAAATCATCATAAGGACCAATAAAGTATCTATCCTTCATCCATATATTTATCTATCCATCCATATATCTATCTATCTATCCATCGATCTATCTGTCTATCTATCCATCCATCCATCCATCCATATATCTATCCATCCATCCATCCATATATCTAGCTATCCATCTATCTATCCATCCATCCATATATCTATCTATCTATCTATCCATCCATCTATCTATCCATCCATCCATATATCTATCTATCTATCTATC